GGTCTTGCCAAGTTGCCCAGGCGGGTCTCAAACCTGCAGGCTCAGGCAATCCACTCACCTCAGCCTCCCAAAGTCGCGGGATTACAGACTGAGCCACCGAGCCCGGCTGGGACATTTCTGATAGCTTAGACTTTCTGTTTGCTCAGTGGCTCACTTTGAAAAGTAAAAGTAGGCCAGGTGTGATGGTTCACACCTGTAATCTCAGCTTTGTGGGAGGTCTAGGCAAGTAGACTGCTTGAGCCCAGGAGTTTTAAGAGCAGCCTAGGCAACATATAGCAACCTCATCACTACAAAATTTTTAAAAAATTTATCTGGGCATGGTGGCATGCACCTGCTGTCCCAGCCACTTGGGAGTCTGAGGTGGAAAGGTCTCCTGAGCCCATGAAATCAATGTTGTGGTGAGCCATGAGTGTGCCACCACGCACCAGCCTGGCAACAGTGTGAGACCCCCAATCAAAAAAAAGTGAAAGTGAGGGAATCAGGCACCCCTTTCCCAACTAGTTTTCAACATGCACACACTTATTATATGTCACGAATATATTGTATATAATTCAATAACTATATGCATCCTTGAATTACATACAATATATAGTTATCATAAATCAGAGACTTTTAAGATAAATATATGATTCGAATCTCTTTTGCTGACTTTCCTTTAATAACATGTGGGAAAAAACCAAGTTCTTATTTCAAGATGTGAAATTTGAGACTGCTTTTCCATTTCTTTGGCTTCTAATAAGCACTAAGAAGCAATTTGCATCAATTCACCACCTACTCCTTGGCATCCCCAATTCCTCCAGCAGTTATTGCGAAGGTGGCTTCATTTTCGGGCATCTCAGGGCTAACAGAATACAAGGGAACAGAAGTTTATAAAAAGCTTCATTTCTATAAATAACATATTCATGTCACAGGCTTCATGCTCTCATCAGTCTGAGTTGCTAGAGACATTCCGAGTTGGTACAGCTAAATATGGGCTACAGAATTTACCCACAAGTTGTTTTTTTTTTTGAGTCAAAGTCTCACTCCATTACCCAGGCTGGAGTGCAGTGGCACGCTCACAGCGATGACAACCTCAACCTGCCGGACTCAGATGATCCTTCTACCTTAGCCTTCCAAGTAGCTGGAAACACAGGCGTGTGCCATCACACCCGGTTAATTTTTTTTTTTTTTTTTTACTTATTGTTGAGAACATGTCTGGCCAAATTGCCCAGGCTGGTCTTGAACCCCTAGGCTCAGGCAATCCTTTCTTCTCCATGTCCCAAAGTTCTGGGGTTACAGGTATGAGCCATCACGCCTGGCCTACCCACCAGTATTATTAACCCTCACAAATATTTATAGAGCAACTTCTATATGTAAGGATCTGAATGTCAAGAACAACTACTCCAAACTTGAAAATAGGCAAAAGGGATTATAGTATGGTCTTTCAGTGTAGTGTCAGGCATTGTATGGCAAGCCCTTAGGGGCTTACTGGATTCTGCAGGGGTGTGTACCTTTACCCTTGACTAGACTAATGTCAACAGAAGCCATAAAAGACTTTGAAATGAACTAAGAGTATTGAATACCCTAAATAGAGAAATAGATTGTCTAGCACGTCCTTCCAGGTTATCCAATTTTATGAGGGTTCTATGCCTTCCATTGTCATTAGTCTACTTTACAACTCTGTAAAAAATTATGAGTAATACAAATTCTTCTTCTTCTTTTTTTTTTTTTTATTTGAAGTCTTACTATTACCCAGGCTGGAATGCAATGGCACACCCACGGTCACTGCAGCCTTGACGTGCTGGGCTAAGGCGATCCTTTCACCTCAGCCTTCCAAGTAAGCTGGAACTTCAGGCATGCATTGCCATGCCTACGTTTTTAGTTTATTGTAGAGACAAAGTCTCGCCAAGTTGAACTCCCATGGGCTCAGGCAATTCTTTTGCCTCTGCATCCCAAAGTGCTGGGATTACAATCATGAGCCACCATTCTCAGCAATACAAATTATTCTTATCCATAAAGTTGTAAATCATGTGAGGTAGAATGCCATTGATTATTGTCCTATGGATATTGACCCATTTTAAAAATCAATTTATAATTCATTTCAGCTAGGTGCGATTGCTCACACCTGTAATCCCAGCACTTTGGGAGGCCGAAGCGAGAAGATTACCTGATCTCAGGGGTTCAGACCAGCCTGGGCAACTTGGTGAGACTTCCTCTCTACAATAAATTAAAAAATTAGCTGGACACGCTGGCACATGTCTGTGGTTCCAGCTACTTGGAAGGCGGAGACAGAAGGATTGCTGGAGCCCAGCTGGTCGAGGCTGCAGTGGCCATGAGCGTGCCACTGCACCCCAGCCTGGGCGACAGAGTGAGACTCCAATTAAAAAAAAATTCATTCCAGCATTTCTTATTTGATTGTTTGTATGATACTTTTATTTTTCTTTTAATCTAGTCATAAAATCCTGTTGCGGATGTGAGGGTGATCTGGCTGTGACGTATGTCACCCCACTGATCCCTAGGGTTGATTTGGTTGATCTAACTGGCTAAGTGGGTATCCCCTTCATCCCTCACTGCTCCATGTGTGTCCTCCTGAAGCTGCATGCTCAGTTGAAGAGGATGACCATTCCTGCTAGAGGAGGACTGTTCTTCAGTCAAGGGCAGATGAGTAGCTGTACTCCCCTGCTAAAACCTCCAAACAAGCTCTCAAGGCCCATAAAATCCTACTGATTCTGTCACAAATTAATGTGTTCCATAAAATTTTTGACATTCTATATTTGTATGTGAGTCATGATTATACTCTTAAATTTTATATTGCTGGCCTCGGTGGCTCAGCCTGTAATCCCGTGCCTTTGGGAGGCTGAGGTAAGTGGATTGCCTGAGCCCACGGGTTCGAGACCCGCCTGGGCAACTTGGCGAGACCTCATCTCTACAATAAATCAAAAAATCAGCCAGGCGTAGTAGTGCCTGCCTGTAATTCCGTTACTTGGAAGGCGGAAGGATCGCCAGAGCCCAGTAGGTCGAGGCTCTGGTGGCCGGGAGTGGCCACTACACTCCAGTCTGGGCAACAGAGTGAGACTCCAACTCAAAAAAAAAATTAAAATTAAAATTAAAATAATAAATTTTATCTTTTGACTGGGCGTGGTGGCTCACACCTGTAATCCCAGCACTTTTGGAGGCTGGAGTGGAAAAATCACTGAGGCCAAGGATTTGAGACCAGCCTGGACAACATAGTGAGACCCCTGTCTCTACCAAAAAATAAAAATTAGCCAGGCATGGTGGCATGTGCCTGTAATGTTAGGTATTTGGGAGGCTAAGGCAGGAGGCTCACTTGGGAGTACAGGAGTGTGAGGCTACAGTAAGCTATAATTATGCCACTGCACTCCAGCCTGAGCAACAGAGCAAGACCCTGGCTCAAAAAAAAAAAAAAAAGTCTTTTAATTTATTCTATAACTCTGTAGGAGTAGACGTTAATCTTTAGAACATGGACAGCAATGCAGATGATTCTTGTCTGAGGGCAATGCAATGATTCTAGACTATAGTAGTAGAAATGAATTTTATTGTGTAGGGAAGCAATTAATTTCTCTCCAGTAGGAAAGATAACTTTAGCTGAGTGCACTAGGTCGTCACACCTGTAATCCCAGCACTTTGGGAGTCAGAGCTGAGAGATTGCCTGAGTCCAGAGTTTCAAGACCAGCCTGGGCAAATTGTGGAGATCTCCTCTCTAAAATAAATCACAAAAATTAGCCGGCGTGGTGGTAGGCGTGGTGGTACATGCCTGTGGTTCCAGCTACTTGGAAGGCTGAGGTGGAAGAATCAACTAAACTCAGCAGGTCGTGCAGTGGCCATGAGTGTGCCACTGCACTCCAGCCTGGGTGACAGAGTGAGACTTCAACTCAAA